TTAAAAAAAAAAAAAAAGATGGGATATGGTTGAACTTGTGTGGTGTCATGAATGCTAGCTGGAGAGATTGCATGAAGGATGATGAAATCATTACAGATGTTCCCTGGGAGTTTAGAGGGAGTACAGACTAAAGTATAGAGGGTATAGAGGGAGTATAGACTGGGAGTTTAGAGGGAGTATAGACTAAAGAAGTCTCGTGCATTGAATGGCATGGGGGTCCCTGCTAACTTCAGCAGAGAGGGACAAACAGTAAGGCTGCTCATAGAAGACAGCATCTCAGGAAACCAACCTGACAATACATGGGAAATCAATAATGTGGATAACTTGGCTTTGACAAGAGATGGCAATGGTTTTTAAATCAAAGATATACTGATCTCATGTGGAAGGTGGGGGAAAACAGCTGGCAAACCAAACCCTGTTCCCTTCCTATGCCATCTTACAAACAACCCTCAGTCCAATTCCATTCTTAATTCTCAACGAAATGCCCTTGAGAAATAGGAAGTAGGTTAACCTTCCCTAAGTAACTCATTCTACTGTTTAACCCTAGCTTTAGTAACTAATGCCCTTAAATCCTAGGTAAATCCTCTATACCACAGGCTATTTTAGGACCATAATCTCTTCACACTGCGTGATCAAACCAAATATCTCTTCAAATACAGTCAAGTTTTGTTCTGCCTTTTCAGTACATTGAATGTAAAAGTTGAAATAAGAGTCTGAAAGGGTAATTGTATATGATTATATTTCTTTATCACTAACTTTGAAAGTCCACATAAGCCATAATTTGCTATGTCTTTGCAAATGTTATATTGTATTGTTTATAATCTCCTAATTGTTGTGTTGCTCAAATATTCTTTCTGTAAATTTTCTGAACCTGACAGCTTACCTAATTGAAAGTTAGCCTCAGGTATACTTTCTTATAACGTCCAACCATTTCCTTGAGTTTTGATGTTACTTAAGAGTTTTTCAGAAAATGAAATAAGAAAATCTGCAATAAGCAGTGTCAGAAGTGCTCTGAGATCACTGACCAGTCTACTCTTGTATTTTACTTCCCTCATCCATATTTTATACAGCATTTGTTACTTCCAGATTTTGCCATGTTACAAAGCTCAACACAAATTAATTTGTCTCCCAATTAGAAGGCTCAATTTTGTAAAAGGAATGTATTTTTCAATACCCATAACACTTAGATTGTTAGAATCAAATAAGAATAACACATGTCTTCTATCCTATTCATTCATGTGCCTGGCACATATTAGGTACCTAATGAATATGTACTGAGTGAATAAATGCGTGAATGAGAGCATTTCACATTTTGGCAGAACGTGCGGTGGTCTAAGTATTGTGATATTGAAGGGGAATGGAAACTACTCTTGTGCATTTGGAGGTGTATCATATGTTGATGTCACTGTTATCCAATGGAAATTTCTAAGATGATGGAAATGTTATTCATTGTATTGTTCAGTATGGTTTCCATTGGCCATATGCAGCTACCGAGCATTTGAAACATGGTTTATGCATGTGAGGAACTGAATTTTCACTATTTTTTTATTGTAACTAATTTAAATTTAAATAGCCACATATGGCTACAATAGAAGACGGTGCAGCTTTACATGAACCTGTACACGTTTGGTCCAGATAAAGTGTTCCTGTCCCTTTAAAAACTAAAAGCATTTCCTGACATGCCCCCTACAGTGCTAAAAATAAACTAATTCAAACACCAGTTTTGGATGTTTATACCAGTTTTAAACGTCAGTGTCAAAGAATCAAGTTAGCAGAGAAACACAGCCTGTGATGGTACACACCCACACACCTCCACCTCAGTGGTTCATAATGGGCTTCCGGGTTTACCATATACACGAGATAATGTCTCTGCAATCCCTAGAGCTGAATTTTAATCGTCCCAGGGTACCCATCTCCTAGTGTGCCTGGCACAGAGTAGGCATTTTATTTTATTTTATTTTATTTTATTTTATTTTATCTTAACATTCATTTATTATTGAGAGACAGAGCATGAGCATGGGAGAAGCAGAGAGAGAGGGAGACAGAATCTGAAACAGGCTCCAGGCTCTGAGCTGTCAGCACAGAGCCCGACGCAGGGCTTGAACTCACAAACCGAGAGATCATCCCCACCTGAGCTGAAGTGGGATGCCCAACCAACTGAGCCACCCAGACGCCCCCAGAGTAGGCATTTTAGTATCCAGTGAATGCATACACAAAAATGCATAGATGCTACTTTTTTCATTTAGGTACAAGTACGTGCGTGTAGCATGACAGTCAAATATCACACATACATAGACTAATCCATAACTATGGTGACCACATATGCGGGTTTACCCCGGGCAATAGAAGTTTAAATGTCCCCATCTGGGTTGTTAGCCTCTTTGATTCTCAAAAGTATCACTGTTTGGACCCTATCAAACCCCCCACTGCTCATCAACAATCCCGAGCTGTGTTTTTTTGAATTGCAACATTTTGGAATAATCAATGTATTATGATGATTATTATGAAGGTGATTAAATTATCTGATCATTTTTAAATGTATGTTACATGTATTTATTAACCACAGTATGTTCTTATTAAGTAAAAATGATAATAATATTGAAATACCAAAGCTACTTGGTTTCTGTAAAAATTAAATATCGTGGCTTAAGTCATAATTAAAAAGGAATTATGTACAAAATTAAGACAGGATGATGAAATTAAACCCTTGCTGCTGCCCCCCACGTCACCCGAGCTAGTTGAGAACCCACTTCAAAACTAGGAACCGTGTGCTCACTCTCGAGGATGCCCCTACACGTGGCCACGCCCAAGTTACGGCGGATCAGACCCAAATTAGAACTCCTGCGTTGAACATTGTTCAAGCTAATTTGAAATGTAATTGCATAATCACATCAATATAGTCAAAGAAATGTGGTTTTTACAGACAAGGTATAATCATTTTCTAATTGCCAATTAAGAACTCTCCACGGTTTATTAGAAAATAAAAGCTTAGAATAGCTTGGTGAATTACAGTATGTGAATTAACCCAGCTGCCCTCTGGAACTCCTGAGGTGACAGAAATACAAATGACTCACTGTGAAACCCTAGCTCTAATTTGTATCCTGAAACCCAAATTCGTGCCCCCATGCTTGACATCTTCTCATCCTCACTGTGAGCTTATGTAACCCAAGTTCTAGGGGAGACGGGTATCGATTCCAGTGATCCGAGCAGTTGATTTTAACTCCCAATGAAAGACCAAGCTTTGCGAATACCAGTTATTCAAACATGGCCCATTTGTACAATGAGGTTTACAGCCCAGCTTAAGAATTCTTTAGTAGCCCGTTTAAATAGTCACCTATATTAATTAATATAGTACATGGGCACGGGATGAGCAGTCAGAAGACCTGGGTTCTAGCCCAGATCTCATTGAACCCCAGGTTCCTTATGTACTAAATCAGAATTACCCCCGCCCCAACTGTAAGGTTGGAAGGGCAAACTAATGAAATAGAGTACGTGCAAGTACTCTATCTAGGTACACGTAGTTAAATATTTTAAGGAATCCTTTGAGTAGAATTGTCTTATAATGAAAGAAGTCCCTTCTCTAGGAATCAGAAAGCTCAGTAGATTGATAAATATCCACCAAAAACATGGGGGATCTCTGTTTCCTTAGGCCTAAAAAGCTCTGTTAGAGAACTATCTCTGCCTTCAGAGTTTCCAAACCAGCCCTCTAACCTGCCACTTCTAAGACTTTCAAAATCTGTCCTAAAGAATATTGCTGGGGGGTGCCTGGGTGGCTCAGTCAGTTAAGCATCAAACTCTTGATTTTGGCTTAGGTCGTGATCTCGCGGTTCATGAGTTCAAGTCCTGCACATTATTGCGGAGCCTGCTTGGGATTCTCTCTCTCCCCCTCTTTCTGCCCCTCCCTTGCTCATGCTCAAAATAAATAAACTTTTTAAAAATTAAAATAAAAAGAATATTGCTGGAAAGACCAGCTTCATGTTCTCTCCCATATTGGATTTCACTCCCTATACACCTCAAGAGTGCAAGACATTTCACTCTACCTGTAAAAATATTTTGACCAAGATCCCTAGCTTCCATTACACATCAAAACCAGCTCAAAATTCCCATGAAAAAAATTCCCTCTACTGATATTGTTACATTGGCCCTACATGACCAAGAAAAGTTTTGCTGGTTACTCTTTTCCCCCAAGATAGCATTTCTGCCTGTACAAGTTCCCGGTTCACACCCAGAATCAGGAAATGCCTCTCTACCACATTAAAGGGGAAAAAAGGCAGAGATCACTACCTCACCTCTGATATGTTCTCTCCTCCTATAAATTGTGCTTCATATAAACCCTGTGCCTTCACAGCTGCTTGATACCTTCAAAATATTTTTATTGGGATTTTTTTCCTTCTTTCTTTCTTTCTTTTTTCTTTTCTTTTTTTTTTTTTTTTTTCCAATAGTCGTACTTGCCTGCTGTGTCCTATTACATCACTCCTGGAAGTGGAAGTGTGTCAACCTCTTTTTGCACATATTATTTAAGTTTAAAATGAAACCTTGGTTTTATTTAAACTTGGGAATCCAATTTTCTAATAAATGGCATGTTTAACCTTGAATCCTGATTGATGGTTTTTCAGAAAATGCTATTATTTCAGCATATTCTCTATTCCAGAGAATTGATATCAGAAGTGTTTGATTTTGATTTTGTTCTTATACCATAGAGAATGGTCACTCACAGAACCACCTAAAAGGTTCTTTTTGATATTGTCTTAGAGAAGATATTAATCATAGAGTTATCTTAAGATTATGATACTTATTCCACAGAAATGAAAATAAAGTTGAACGTATTATTAATGCATTGCTAAATATTGTGTGGCAATTCCCTCCATGTATCTAATAAAGAATAAGCACAGAGAGGTAAAGTAAATTGCTAAGAAGCACAGCATTACTGGATAGAAATGTTAAAAAATTAAATTAACCCAGATTTCAAAGATTGTCCCTCTTAGATGTCTGGTTCCTACCTCTCTTTGACTCAGTAAATGTCCGCCCTTCTTCCATTATTAATGGCTCGTCCTTCTAGTGCGGATAAGTCAAGTGTTTTGGTCCTTCCCCTTCAAACTGTTCATTCCAAAGCTCCACGTACGATCAGCAAAAGGAAAGGGTAAGACAGAAGTGTGGGCCTGAACTCCGTAACAAGTCAGTCTTCTACCTGGTTATACCCTGAAACAGCAAGAACACTATTCAAGGTGCTAATGTATTTGCCACCAATTGAGAATAATTAAAAACTTACCAATTCATAAAGAGTTACTTATGAAAAGAATCCCTCCTCTTTAATGTTGGGATTATATTTGAAAAATCCGTAAACGAGTCACTGTCAGATGCCTCAGGGGCAGGGACACAAAAGGCACCTCAAACAGCTCCAGTCACAGAGGTAACCAAGGGCACCACTTGAACAGCCTCAAGTGTTGTGCTCAGTACAACTATTTATTTAATGAGATAAAATAAATTTCAGGTCATGATAAAAAATAATACTCTTCACTTTGAATTATCTAGGAAACTGCTTATGGAAATAGCACAAAAGGAAACCAGATAACACAGGTTTTAATTCCAGCTTTTTCAATAGCTAACTGTGTGAATGTTAGCAAGTCTGGATTTTTTTTAAGTCTGTATTTACTTGTCGGTAGAGTAGGAATAGCTTACGCATTCCTTATTTACCATATGAGGTGCAAATGAGCGCAAACCTGAAACAATTTGTAACCTACATATTGCTACACACAAGTAACATGTGAACATAAGAGAAATTAGTTATTTTCAACGCTGGACCTGTGCAAGACAAAGTCACTTTCACTTCATAGTTCCGCATCCACTACAAATATTCAAGTAGGAATAAAATCAAATGGGATACAGAGATTTTTAATGGGGTTGGTCACTGTTTTCGTGGCAGAGTAGAGCAAGTTCCTTTGACCAACACCTAGATTTAAATATTTCACTAATGGCAAAATAACTCATTCTCAGGCAATGCTAGATCAACTATGTTTGAATATGTTCACGTCAAAAGTGATATGGGGGGCGCCTGGGTGGTTCAGTCAGTTAAGCATCCAACTTCAGCTTCATTCATGATCTCACAGCTCGTGGGTTCAAGCCCTGGATTGGGCTCTCTTTTGTCAGCATGGAGCCTGCTTCAGATTCTGTGTCTCCCTCTCTCTCTGCTCTTCACTCGCTCGTGCTCTGTCTCTCTCTCTCTTTCTCTCTCTCTCAAAGATTTAAAAAAAAATTAATTTTTTTTAAAAAAAGAGTTATATGGGGGCACCTGGGTGACTCAGTCAGTTAAGCATCGGACTCCAGCTCAGGTCATGATCTCACGGTTCTGAGTTCAAGCCCCACATCGGGCTCTCTGCTGTCAGCATGGAACCTGCTTCAGACCCTCTGTCCCCCTCTCTGTCTACCCTTCCTCCACTCTCTCTCCCTCTCAAAATAAATAAATAAACTTAAAAAATAAGAAGGATATGGCTGCTTTAAGGTGTCTACCTAAAGTACTTATAGAAACCAAAGGTAGTCTTTGTTGGAGAAACAAAAACTAAAAAAGACAGCAATATTGAGAAGATAAAAGAGGTGAGGTATTTGGCAGCTAAAACTAGAGACTGTTTCAATGCAAGGTTGTGAACAGTAAAGTAGAACAATAGAGGTGAGGCCTTGGAAAAAACATTGCATCAGTAACAGACCAGGGGTTTAGGCAAGAGACCGATGTGGTTTTACTTTTAGCTCCTGCTAATAACTAGCATCAATTACTTTAGGACAGAGTTCAAATCATAAATACCCAGGCCATTCTTCCCTCTAAGAGGATTATTGATGTTTCCCTGAAAACCTTGCCTGTTCATATCACGCTAGCTAGTCTGTCCTTAGAGTCTCAGGCCCAGAAATGAAGTAAAACAGTTTCTACAGAAAAATTATTTTGACACTATGCAAGAAGATAAAAAATAAATTCATATGGCTTTGCACTGATTTATGTACTGAGATAAGTTCTACGACTCTACCCTACTCCTCTTCTTTAAGACTTAGAAACTAGAATGGACCATCTGGTTTTGCTTTGGGGGTGCTGTGTGTAACTTTCTAGTGGGAGAACTTACCTGCTGGTTTTCATCTTTCTGATACAGCTCTCACTGCCCTGGGGGTCTGTGAAGATGCCAGGCTGAGCCGTGACGTGGACTACAGTCACCCTGGAGTGAAGTCCCAAACATGCAGCAGGCTTTATATGAGTGAAAGATCAATTCTTGCTCTTTTAGGCCCTTGGAATTTGATTGGTTCTCAAGGGCCCCCTGCTAAAAACCCTAAAATAAAAAATCTTAGTGTATCACTAGCTTAGAGAAGGAGCAGTAAGGAAAATTATACTGTAAGCTGGAACGACAGCAAGCCATGTAGTACAGTATTTGGTAAACAATCATATAGTAGTTCTATACCATGTACCTTATCGGATGGCAGTTCTATGGGAAGGAATCAGAAAACAGAATGTTAATAGCATGAGTTGGTTATTATTGGATGCATTTGACAAAGTGTTTCAAGAGAGATGAGCTGAGAAAAGAATTTCCATTTGTAAGCAGGAATGAAAAGGAATAGGGAGAGTCTAAAAATTCTAGGATTTGCAAAGTCAGAAGAGACAACAGCATCTCTTCCCCAGCTGGTGAAGGATTACAGGGTTTTCCCCCCAGTCCTGTCTGACTAAATGCATTTTCTCCCACACTGGTTTAACAGCCATGTTTCCCATGGTGCATCATTCCCTCAAAATACTTCCTTCATTTGGCGCCCACGTCATCCCACTTTCTGTGTCTCCTTCTTTCTCATTGATCAATCATTTAAATTTCCTTTATGATTCTTCCCCATCCCCTTGACCTCTGAATACCATAGGGCTGCTGGGCTTTGTCCAAGGACATCTTCTATATTTATATGTACACTCAGTCCTTGGAGCTCTCATAACTTTCCAGGACCACACGTATACTGACTATTCCTAACTTCTGCCCCAAATTCTAGCTGTCTCCTTGACATGTCTGCTAGGATTGCAAATACCCATCTCAGACTTTCTGTGTCCAAAATAGAATGCATATCCCTCCAAACAAACATCTAATCTTCCAAACCTGATGTTCCAGCAAGCTTCTCATTTTAACAAATGGGAATCCCATCCCTCTAGGTACAATGCTGTCAACTTGCCCTGAGTGACCCTGCAACAACAAGCAGCAACCCCTTTGGTCTTTGATTTTTTTTTTTTAATAAACTCAATATGGAGGCTGGTATCAATAACATGTAAAAGTACCTCATTTTCCTTCCAGGACTAAAGAATAAGATATCTATTTTTATATTCCAGCACTGGCTTCAGAATTCGATACAAAGATAGATATTTGCACCCTTAAGCAAATATCACTCTTGGAATCTCCTTAACTATGTCACAGGACCTGCATTTGGCTGAACAAATCAGCTACTAATGACCCTGCTCTTTCTACCGTGTGTTCTCCTGACACTGGGAAAATTATTCTTCCTACTATTTTAAGATTCCCTGCACTCGTGTTTTAAGATGTTTTTGCAAATTCCCCTGTACTAGTTTTAAGATTAGATTTCTATTTCAGGATTCATATTGCAGTTTAAGGAAAACTACATCCTCTTACAAATCATGTGTCAACAGCCTGAATACCATCATGGCTGAATGTAACCAACTTAGAAAAGTGAGTATACACTCCTAGAACCTAGTAAAACAGCTACCAGCTTCCCGGATACGCTCTGATAGACAGGTACTTAACATTACTTGGAAGGTCTCAGTCTGAAATCTTATCTCTTTTGCTAATGGACTCCCTCCCAATAAAACAGGAAACAATTCAGGACTAACAGAGACATGCTAGTCACCTCTTCTCTTGCTACTCATAATGGATTTTCTTCCATGTGCCCAGCTCAGTATATGTTTTAGTTTAATGTACTTGGATATCAGTAATGCATCACTCAAGTGCATTTTTCATCAGCTAGGACACTACCTGCAGATGTCCAGGCTTCGTTTAGAGTGAGCCACCCAAGCAGACCAAGCCAGAGTCCATCCAGTTATGTCAGCCATCCTGCATATAAATCCCTCTTTATACACTGTTTGCCATGAACACTGCTGTGCTGGAATCAGTGACCTAGAAATGCACATCCATTGCAAGCAAGTTGAAGTAAACAAACCTCACTTGCACCCTGTCGCTGTGGTGGTATGTGCCCAATATACTCAGTGCCTAAGAAGAAAATATAGTGTGAATATCCATTTGTCCCAATTCGGGGCTCCATTAGGGTAATTATAAATCAGGGCCCCTGGTGTGAATGGAATACATGATGCTCAAAATGATGCTCATTTTGGGGAACCATTATATTCATTTGTAACCACCCCATCCACATAAAGAAAACGTCCTTCCTTTCATTAGTCTGGGAAAACGAACCATCAAACTCTCTCTCAGTTGAAACTAGTGGAAACATTTTACTCTAATACAGGGTCTTGGCGTTTCCACCTCTAAAGCTCAAACATTTTCCTGACATGCTCATTCATGCACTGCTGACATCCACACCCTCCCGTATCCTTTTGTCATAGGAGGGTCCTGGCAGCTAACCTTTTAAACAATCCATAGAGAGCTGAGCAAGTTCACAGAAGCAAACCTACACAGCTGGTAAACAGGAATGGAGAAGCTCATTTCCTGCAAGCCAGCGCAATCCATTTAGTGCTGTATTTCCTTTTCACTATCCTCAATCATTTATTTTACGTATGAAACACAAACTAGTTTGTTGCATTTCTCTGGCCACTGGAAGGAAGTTAACATACAAGTCACTACGTTCTGCCTTACCTGCCACCAGATCTGTAGTGATTGATTCCGGGAGAATCAATTCTGGGTATTTTACTAGGCGTCCTGGGAGGAATTATCACCCATTGTCTTTCTCCATGTGTTTGCCTTAGTTGTATTACAGGCAAGCTGATTCCCAAAGCAAAATGTTTCAGTAATAAGTAGGCTCTTCTCATGGACCTAGTAGTGTTAATTCCAAACACGCCACAGCATGTTAAAGACATTAAACCATTGGCTTTTTAATTATGATTTAATCATATACATTTGGAAATGTTGCCCAGATTAATTCTAGTTTCTTAAAGATATTCCATCATTTTATTCCTCTATTGTCTTCTTTAATAAAGAGCATTGATTAGGGATTACATAAATATTGAAAAATAAAAGAAGGCATGAGTGAGTAAATCAGCAAATTGTCTCTCTTTGTTGACTTCTAGAATGTTCTATTCCTTGTTTTCTTCAGGAATACTTTGCTTTACTCACTGGTTGTATGTGAATGTGACTGTGTGCACATACACATATATATGTAAATTATTTCATATTTTTACCTCTTACTCTAAATTGATTCTAATCTGTAAGACTGCCAGCATCTTATCCTAAATGACACCTTGCCATCCTTCTTATCCTCATCCCCAGTTCTAGCTGACCCCTTCTCCAGTCTCTGCCCAGCTGCTTCACAGTTTCCAAAAGCAAAGGACACCCCATCCTCGACAACTGGAGATTCAAGCAAAGTATGACACGAACTTAGTAGATAAGGGGAATAAGAACGTTGACGAGAAGAAAGGATGGCTATAAAACCATTTATAATATGTAGCCATCACTATACTAATACTTTTCCATTGTATAGCCTTCTTGACCCCAAATTATTTTTGTAGATATCAATTAATTAAAATTCACAGTTCTCAGTCCTACCGCATGATTTACTTTATCCTACCCATCTTGACAATTGTCACAGGAACCAAATACTGGAGTTTCACTAGCCATATTTCTGAAGTAATCTAAGCCATGTCTCGATTTCCCATTTCCAGAGTTTTTTCCCTATTAATAAAGAGTGGAGAGAGGGGACACACTTCCATTTTGCATGTATCGAAACAGGATTCAGAGTCATTTAAAGCAATCAGAAAGGACAAAGTGCTCTGTCAACCTGGTATGAAAATCTTAAAACATTTTTATTCTTAAACAAACAGGAAAGTCTCTTTTTCTTAAGATGTAAAGAAAGGAACATAAAGTGAATTTTTGATTCTACTATACATATAATTGTCCCATAAGAACAATTATACATAAACTTCCAGTGTCTTGCCCTCCCACCATGCAATAACCTTGTTTAATTAAAGTTGCTGTCTCTGATTTTTTTAAACACTCTTTTTTTTAGAAATAGAAACATGAACCCAACAAATAAATAGCCACATTTGGATGATTCGAATGTGTTTGGAATGTTGAGACTCTATTTACATTTTAATAAGATATTTCCTCAGTGCAGGTCTTAGATAAATCTCCATAGAGATGAGGCTAGGACACAGAATTAAGAAGAAAGAGGCGCCCTTGACAATTTGGAGAAAAGGAAAGATAAGCAGAGTGGTGTTTAATAGAAACAGATGTGGATGTAATCCCTTTAGGAAGAAAAAATCTGTACAAATATAACATAAGAGGAGGAGGAATGGCTTTAGACACATATAAAGGAAAAACCTGGGGAGCTTTGAGAACTCAAGCTAAGAATGAGTTCATGACTCAGACTCTCTTCTAATTCACAGCCCAACAACTGGTGTGTTATGTGGATAACTTGAAGAAAGCCTCGGTGTTAAGTGCAATATGTTATTTATAAGGAAGATTAACAGGAGTTTCTGAAAGTAGGAATGGAGGGCTGAAAAAGGGACCTGTCAGCCTCAATACGAATAAATCATATCTATATAATCACAGATGTACATGCTGGTCGGCACACCTCTAATGTAAGACCAGCGAGACCTGTCTTCTATCCCAGCAGGAAGGATTTGCACTAACGTTAAGGAAAACCTATTGGCTAAAGGTTGAGCATGAAAACCTATTAACGGAAGTCAGAGAATTCTATTAACTCCATTGTAAAAAAATGACCATCTATTTATTTCTGCAAGGCTTCATCTAACTTGCAGGAGTATAAAACTGACCTAGGGTTCCAGTCCCACCAGCAGCTGAAAGATGGTTAATGGTTAAGTGATGAGGAGAATGTGGGGGGAAAGCTGAGGAGATGAATGAACAGGTGTCCTGGTACACAATGAGCCAGAACAGCACCGTCGTCCTTCAATGGGATTCTCTCTACCTCTGAGAAAATATTCCTTCCTTGTCCTCTCTGTCTTCCTCGGTTTTAAGGAATTGAGACTGTGTGAGTCCTCCATCTTGCCCTTTAAAGAAAAA